AGCCACCAAGTACAATGCCTAGTTCTTTCTCCCTACCCTATCGAACCGTTAAATTGAAACTCGCCGTAACTGAAAGAGCTTCAAACCTCAAAAAAATTTCTCTTTACCCTTGACCTCCCCCTCTTTGTGCGTTGCCTCTGTCTCTCTCTAGCCGCCCTCTCTCTCTTTAGCTGCAGCTCTCTACGTGGCTTCCCTCTCTCTCTAGCTGCCCACTCTCTCTGTGGCTTCCCTCTCTCTCTAGCTGCCCACTCTCTCTCTGCGTGCCTTCCCTCTCTCTAGCTGCCCTCTCTGCTATCCCTATGCTCCGCTTCTCTCTCTCTCTCTTCTGAGCAATGGCGGTGGCCCTATACTTGGTTTGAACAAGTGGTCTCCCTCTCTCTCTCCTCACAAACATCAAAAACCAGAACGTTGAGATGCATTTCTTTGGCCAAAGAGCTCAGCATAACTGCGTCTCTCTCTTTGAGAGACCTTTTCTATTTTGCAGCAGGAGCCATCTATGTCTCTCTCTCTACCCCACGAAGCCCCCAAATCTCTCTCTCTCTCTCTACCCCACGAAGCCCCCAAATCTCTCTCTCTCTCTACACCGTTTAGCCCCCAAATCTCTCCCTCTACCCCGTGGTTTACGCCGCAGCAGGGAGACAAATCTTCTCCCAAACCCTCTTCTCTCCCTGTATAGAAGAAGTTGGATCCGCTGATTTGAGGGCTAAAGAAACCCTAGGGTTAGCCAAGAAGATCGAGAGGGTTTGAGCCGTCTTTAACTGCAAGAGAGAAGAGGAGCGTCCGCCCTGCAGAGAAGAGAGCCAGCAAAGAGGGATATTGGTCAAAATAAAATTAGGTCAGAGAAGAGAGCGAGCAACGAAAAGTGGGTTGTTGGTGAAAGTAAATTTGGGTTTGAAGCTTTTGGGCCATTCATTTCTTGCGTAGTTGGAATGTTTTGTTCGTGCAGTTAGAGGTTTTGTTCAATCGCGGCTCAACATTTTATTAAATACAAACAAACGGTGGATACTAGAGAGGTGAAATGACTGTTTAGTTTGGCCTATAGGTGATCATAAGATTTTATATTTATCTATATATATATATATATAAAGTTGGGATTAATCCATTAACTCATATGAATTCAACAGTCCAGATTGCATCTGGGTCGATCTGACGATTACGGATGTCTGGTAACTTGAAATTTTATACGTGTGTTTATAAAAAATATATGAATATTCGAAAATATCAAAAAAATATTTTATATGAAATAAATTGACCAAAATACCTGAAAATATTTGGGGGGGTATTTTGGTTTTTTTCATGAATAATTTTTTATATATATTTTTATTAGGTGTGCCTTGATGAGAATAATACACACCTAAAATTTCAAGTGATTTGGATTTGTAGAAAAATAAATAAAATT